CAAAGCATATAAAAAGAAGTGTGGGAGCTGCAGAGATAGTACATCAGGTAGAAGAATTGCCTTGCATGTAACTGACCTGGGTTTGATTCTAGGTATTCCGTATAATCCCCCACAAACATCCAGGTGTAATTCCTGAGAGCAGAACTAGGAGTAAACCCTGAAACCTGTGAGGGGTATGTCACTCCAAAATAAAAGAAAATAAAAAGAAGTGTGACCTCTAGTAAGCACAAATTTTGAACAGCACAGCAAACCAAGATGAGCATTACAATCATAACTCTATGTCTCATCTAAAGAGTGCAACCCCTGGGGGCCATGTGCAAGCACTGCTTCCTGATGTGCAACCCCAGTGAGAACTGAAGCTAAAAATGTGTCAGCACCACAGCTAGGCATTTGTGTGACCCCAGTTGCCACAACAACAATAATAGAAAAGGTAAAAGGTAGGGTATGAATAATTTCAAAGATTTTAGTAAAAATATTAGAAATTATAACTAATACAGTTAAGTGTCAGACTATAAATTTAATGTAACTAGAAGTATTGTTTCTCCATGTGAATCAACAGAAAGATAACTCAGAAAAACATTATGTTTACAATTTCATTAAAAAGAATTTTATACCTTGGAATAAATGTGGCTGAAGAAGTGAAAGACTAAAAGCTATTAAGTACACTGGGTGTGTTGGGTGTGGTGTTGGAATCATGTGCATGAGAGACTATTATTAACAGTGCTATAAACCACAGAGCAGAACCTGGCAAGCTACCCGCTGCGTATTCGATATGCCAAAAACAGTAACAATAACAGGTCTCATTCCCCTGACCCTGAAAGAGCCTCCAATACGGCAACGTTGGGAAAGACGAGTTAGGAGAGGCTGCTAAAATCTCAGGGCTGGGACTAATGGAGACGTTACTGGTGCCTGCTTGAGTAAATCTATGAACAACGGGATGACAGTGATATAATGACAGTGATAAACCACAGATTGTCAATCAATAAAAATTAAGGAAAAAACCCTACAAGACAATGTTGGAAGAAGTAGAAGACACAAAGAGATGGAAAGATATTCCACGTACATAAACTGGAAGAATTAACAGACTTAAAGTGACTGTCTTATTAAAGCAATATACAAAATCAATGCAATAACTATCAAAAATCCAATAATATTTTAATAGAAATAGAACAAAAAATCATGACATTTATTTGGAGCAACAAAATGCCCTTAACAACAAAAAGAATATATATATGCATATATATGTGTATATATGTATGTATGTATGTATGTATATATGTATACATACCCTACAATGCTCAGGGATTACTGCTAATTCTGCACTTAGGAATTACACCTGGATGTTTTATATATATATAGGCTGGAGCGATAGCACAGTGGGTAGGGCGTTTGCCTTACATGCAGACAACATGGCCGACCTGAGTTCGATTCCTCTGCCCCTCTCGGAGAGCCTGGCAAGCTATCCAGAGTATCTTGCCCTCATGGCAAAGCCTGGCAAGCTACCTGTGATGTTTTCGATATGCCAAACACAGTAACAAGTCTCAAAATGGAGACGTTACTGGATCCGCTCGAGCAAATTGATGAACAACGGGAGGACAATGAAATATTACTTGATCTGGGGACTATACCTGTGATTTTCAGGAATTACTCCTGTACTCAGGAATTACTCTTGGCAATACACAGGGGACCATACACAGTGCCAGGGGTTGAACTAGGTCAGCCACGTGTAGAACAAGTGACATCTTCTGTACTATCCCCCCAGCCCAAAAATTAAATATTTGAATAAAAAGACACAGACAACAGAACAAAATTGAGAGCACAGAAACAAAACCATACATATTATGAATAACTAAGTTACATTAAAGGAGCCAAGTGCTTCTAATGATGCCAGAAAAGTCTCTTTAGTAATAGAGGGTGGGAAAACTGTACAGTCAGTTCTGAATGAATTTAACAAGGCAACTAACAAACAACACCATATATAAAAGTGAAATAAAAATTGATTAAAGACCTGGATGCAAGATCTGAAAACAGGCGACTTGACTCCAACAGCAAGGAAAAAGAAAAAAAGTAAACAAGCAGGATTATGTCTGCTAAAAACATAGAGGTTTGCACTAATGAATTGATTATAACCCACTATCTTTGCTATAAGTGTGTGAGCCAAAAGTCAGAACACAGCGCCCTGAGACATGATGTCCATCAGCTATCAGAAAATGTAGGATTGCAATAATCCTAAAATGTCCGAACAATAAGTTTCTGAAAGAATGAGTTAAAGGGTAAGATTGAAGAAAATAAATGACCAGGCTAGAGGCATAGTAAAAATGTTGAGGTTCTTGTTTTGCATGTCTTCAATCCCAGCACCAAGTACTGCCGGTTGTGACCCATCCACCACAACTCCCCCATCCCCCACTACCGAAAAGAAAAACAAGGGTTTGCCTGTTTGCCTGAAGGCACTTGCAATGCTGAGTCAGAAAACATGCCTAGTAGTATCTATGTTGTAGAATTTCTAAGGGCGTTGTTGACCCACATCTGGATAATATAGCAATGTATAAAATTTCTACTCCAAGACCCTGGTTTTGCAGTAGTTCTCTCAGAGCAATCTGGGGGCTGTTTCAGAGTTTGAATATCTCTCAGGCTTGATTTTCAGTTTAACTTGCTAATAAACTCACCTAAAATCTATGTATGGCCAACTTACAACTTATGTATAAAATCAAAAAGCTTCTGTACAGTAAATAAAAATTTGCATAGAAACAGAAACACATCTAAGTGAATGGAAGAAGTCATTTATAAACCATATAGCTGAAAATATTCATATTTAAAATCTATAAAGGACTCATTGACATTATGAATGCAAGATCTGAAAACAGGTGTTAAGCTCTTTGACACAAACATTAACAACTGAAAATGGGCAGTATCTACTCAAATATCTGAGGAGACACTCCTCCAAAATGGCACAGCTCACCATAAGAAATGTGAAAAGATGGTTATCATTTCTTATCATTAAGAAAATGCAAATGAAAACAATATAGAGATGGCAACTCACAGCTAAGAGAATAGCTATTCTCCAAGGACAAGAAATTAGTATTGGGGAAACATGGAGAGAAAGGAACACTTAGAACTGTTGGGAATGCAAATTGGTACAGCAATTATAGAAAACAGCAAAGAGTCTTTACCATTTAAACGTTTTTCAAAAAGAGAGCTGGAGAGGTAGTATATTGGGTATGGTGTTTGCCTTGCAAGCAGCAGAGCAGATTTGATTCCTGACAGCCAATATGGTTCCTGAGTCCCACCAGGATTGATCCCCAAGTGCAGAGCAAGTAATAATGCCTGAGCACTTCCATGTGTGACCCAAGCCCCAATTTAAAATGATCCAGGATTGGAGAGCTAGTACAGTGGATAGAGCACTTGTCTTCATGGGATCAGCCAGGGTTCAATCCCTGCCACCACATATGATCCACCAAAGTCCTCTAGGATGATCCCTGAGTGCAGATATGGAAGTAAGCCCAGAGTACTACTGGGTATGACACAAAACAAACAAATTTAAAAAATTAAAAAGATATTCCATATGATCCAGTTATCCCACTTCTGGATATTGATCTTCAAATATAAAAACACTAATATGAGAAGCTATGGCTTCCCATGTTCAACGCGCCATTATTTTTAATAGCCCAAACTGGAAGCAACCTAAGTACTTATCAACTGATGAATAGATAAAGGAGATATAGTATAGAGTTTGAGGGTATGGTTCAAGTGAAAGAGCACAAGTCTAGCACATGAAAGGGCTTGAGTTTGATACCTGGAAAATAATGGCACCTGTCACACAGCAGGATTGACTGCTACTTTAAAAAAATGTTACATAAACAAGGGAATACTATACAGATATATTTTTAAAAACATGAAATCCTGCCATTTGTAACCACATAGATGGACATAGATAAAAGTATGTTTATTGAAATAAATCAGATAAATAAAAACACCATAAGTTTTTACTCATTTGTAGTATAGGAAAAATAAAACAAATGGACTAATACAGTATAAAACAAAACCCTTAGAGATTATATGTTAATGGTTACCAGAAGATAATGGTCAAGGGGTATGTGTAATCTGGGAACAAAGGGGTCACTCATATGCTGAAGGACCAAACTGAACTTTATTTTTAAAGAAGATATTATTCCAATTTACTGATTACATATAAGAAAGCATTATAAAGAATACTCAGTACCATCCAAAATTTGATCTGGTACCATTCATTACTCAATTTGGTTACATTAGCACAGCGGTAGGGCATTTGCCTTGCATGCAGCCAACATGGCCGACCTGAGTTCGATTCCTCCGCCCCTCTTGGAGAGCCCGGCAAACTACCGATAGTATCTCGCCCGCACGGCAGAGCCTGGCAAGCCACCCGTGACGTATTCGGTATGCCAAACACAGTAACAACAAAGTCTCCAATGGAGACGTTACTGGGCCCGCTCGAGCAAATCGATGATCAACGGAAGGGCCTTTACTTACTTACTTACTTACTTACATAAAGTATACCAAAAATAACCAAATTAACTCCATAAACTCTGCTTGGGTGACCCTTTTAAGGTTGAACTCCAGGACACATACAGTAAAGATCAGCAAACTATACCAAGATTTCTGAAGACAATGATGTCTCTGCTCAAGCAGGATATAAATGAATTTCAAAGGGAAACTCGCATCACACTGAAGAATTCTAATATTACCCTATTGGGAGGAAGTTTACTAAGATAGCTTCAGAGTATACTAACTTTACACAGCAGACTTTAAGATATACACATTTAGTCAATATTATGATAAGATTATTGCATTTAGCAATCAATACCAATGTTACAAAAGAGAATCCACACAAATACCCTTTGTCACAATGCTTTGCACTTTCCACAGAACAGAAGCAAAAATGACCAGTTACATAGTTAGTAAAAATACAGTCCTGAAATGCTTTACCCATTCACACCAAAAAATGTCTAAAACATGCCTTCTTTGTAGGGCTAAATCTTACTACCACTGTGTCTGGATGAATTCACAAATCTGTTGTAACCTGTAGCTCCCTTTTCACTTCTCTGGGTCTCCTTGTCTGAGCTTTCCTGACAATTAAAGCTTTTTGTCACTGCTGGAACCACGATAACCACCTTTGTTTCGTGGTTTGGAAAAATGTTGGCTGATATCACTATAGGGGCCTGAGTTTGGGTCACCAAAGTTTCCTTCTTTCATAGGCCCAAAATATGAATACGGAGTAGTGTAACTGCCCAAATCACTGTAACTTCCACCACTTAGAAAACTTCTACTATTGTTACCATATCCCTGATAGCCAAATGCACTACTACCAAATCCACCACTACCCATGCTGCCACCAAAAGCACCTTGCCCACTGATGCCTCCTCCATAGAGAAAGCTGGCATTCCCACCAAAAGCACCTCCATAACCACCACCAAAATTTCTAGAACCACGGTGGCCCCTTAGGTTGGATGAAACCCTAGCCATCTCTTGCTTAGACAAGGCTTTTCTTATTTCACAGTTGTGGCCATTCACAATATGGAATTTCTGAATGACAATCTTGTCTACAGAATCATGATCATCAAAAGTCACAAAAGCAAAGCCTCTCCTCTTTCCACTGCCTTTGTCAGTTATGACATCAATCATCTCAATGTTCCCAAAGCGTTTAAAATACTCTCTTAGGTGACACTCTTCTGTGTCTTCTTTGATGCCACCAACAAAAATCTTTTTCACGGTGAAGTGAGCACCAGGCATTTGGGAATCTTCTCTTGAGATAGCTCTCTTTGGTTCCACATATCTTCCGTCCACCTTGTGTGGCCTTGCATTCATGACTGCATCCACTGCCCCCATGGTGCTGAATGTGACAAACCCAAAGCCTCGGGAGCGCCTGGTGTGGGGATCTCTCATTACTACATAGTCTGTGAGTGTTCCCCATTGCTCAAAATGATTTCTCAGACTTGCATCAGTTGTTTCAAAGCTCAGCCCTCCAACAAAAATTTTCCGCAGCTGTTCCGGCTCCTGGGGAGACTCTGGCCTAGACATCGTGGCCGTAGAAATGGGAATTTCTCTGCTGAGAAGACTCTTACTCTAAAGCAGCAGTGGCAGGGGCAGCAGTGGAGGCAGTGGAATTGAGGAGTAACCCAATGTGTCTAGAATTGGGCTTTAGTGATGATCTTAATGTTGATTTTCAATGGTGCACACCTGAAACGTACATAATGTTTCAATGCAATGCAACTTCAATTAAAGATTGTTTATTCAAAAGTTCAATAAAAGTCATTCAAGGTTAATTAAGAATATATTTTGGGATTTGGGTATCTAATTCTATCTATATTCTTTATGTGTGGTGGGTTGGGGTGGGAGGGCTTATGCCACACTCAGCAGTGCTCTCAGGGCTGACTCCTGGCTTAGTGTTCTGGGCACTCTTAGAGCAGTGCTAGGGATTGAACTGAGGATGCCTGAGGATGTGAGACAAGTGCTGTAACACCTGTACTAGCTATTTAGCTCCTTCATCTACATTCTTAGAGTGAAAGTGTTTCACAATTTTTAAAAAGAATTTTCAGGACCGGAGGGATTTGCCTTGCACACACACAGCCCATCAGAGTTCCATCTCATATGGTCCTCCGAGCACCACCAGGAGAAATTACTTAGTGCAGAGCCATGAATAACCGCTAAGCATCACCAGGTGTCACCCAAAAAGCAAAAAAAAAATCCCCCATTTTAATTTGATTATCGTGAGATACACAGTTACAAAACTGTTTATGGTTGTCATAATTTTCTTTTCACATTTTTTCTGTCAAATAAAAAGATATATTAATTGATTGTAAAACCTTTCTTCTTCAAGAGCCTGAAAAAACTGAACAATGTATTTATCTGATCTTAAAACTTTCTCATAGTATAATTAGCCTGGATTTGGGAGGGCAGATTTAAAGTGTGAATACTTGACTTAAAAACCCAGCTTCTAGAGCTGGAAAGACAGTGCAGTGGATAAGGCGCTTGCCATGAACACAACATGTGACAAAACCAGGTTTGATTACTGGTACCACATATGGTTACTTGAGTACTGCCAGAAGTGATTTCTGAGCACAGTGCTAAGAGTTAGTCCTGAGCACTACAGGTATGTATAGGTATGGCCCTAAACATCACCCCCCTTAAAAAAATAACAACTTACAGGTGTCCTACTATACATCCTATTGAATAAATAGATACATTGAAAGTTATTCACAGGGAAGGGTAACAAAAAGAAAATTAAAAATCTAAATACCATCAATAGAGAACTAAACTATATACATCATACTTTAAAATAGGAGCAGAAAAAAATTTTCATGCACTGACTAGGAACAAAACCTAGAATATATTTGGGTGGGGAAAGCAAAATAAGTGTGGGAATATGGTAGCATTTGTGCAAAATCACACAATAACACAATGTGTCTATTTGTAATTATTTAATTGTCATAAATGTACCTACATCACTCAATCACCAAACTTTTAAAAGTGGGCATATCTGAGGAAGAAAATGGTACTGGGGGAGAAGAAATGAAGACTAGTTTCATTACTATTTTTTTGCATATAATAATTATCTTAGCATACACTTACTTTAATTTGAAACACAATGAACAGCAAAAAATGTGAACTGGATACAAAGACAGGGAAAAAGCAAGATGTATCTGAATAATCTTCTCTGAGCAGGAAGAGAGAAAAGAAGGGAAATTTTCATAGAAAGAAGTAGATGAGAAAAACTTTGTTTTATCTTTCAACATTGTTTTTAACTTTCCGGAGTGTGTGTACGTGTGTGTATAGAGAAAAAACTGGAGAAATCTGAGGTGGATTAGAGGCTAAATAGAAATAGAATGTAGAAGATTAACATATTTTTCCCAAGAGAACAATAGAGATTTCCACAAACTGAAATTCACTGAAAAAAGTAGGAGGTAAATTGGGAATTTACCTGAGTCACGGCAGTCCTGTTGTACTCTGGGCAGATCAGAAGATTGAAACCTAAAAAGGCAGATTTAGAAAAGTCAAGATCAGTGCACAATGCAATCATTACCAGCCCAGTCACTACTGAATCCTGAGGAGTATAATCTGGAAACATGGTTTGGTAATTTCAGCCTGTTCACTTGGGAATTCTGCACATGAAATATTTTCTTTCTAGACAGATACATGATTTTTGTCTAAAGAAACCTATTCAGAAGCCATTAACAACAACTGACAACTCCTAAAGCTCAACAATGTCATTCGTGAACCAAAAGATGATACAGTTGATAAGGCACTTGTCATGCACAAGCTGATACGTCTTCAATCTTCAGTCCCCCTCCATATAATCCCTTGAGTTCCGCTTGGAGTGATTCCTGAGTGCGGAAGAAAGAGGAAGCTCTGAGCATTGCCAGGTGTGACCCAGAAAACAACCCCGAATTTTGTACAGGAAATTTATCTTTAAAAAGTAAGCATGAGGGGGTATGGTGCTGCCAGCAGGTCAATCTGTACCTGTGAGGCGAGTGCATCAGCAGCCTGATGGTGCCTTCAGACTTCCAGATACCCCCAAATTGCTGCTGCGCTTTGGCCAGACCCCAAAAACTTGGGGCAAGTTTACCAAGAAAGTAAAATGCCAAAAGTTAGATATGTGGGAGACACACCCACAAACCACCTCTGGCTCAGCTATATAATTGGAGGTATGGCCATCATGACAATCAGGTTTGGGCCTGCAGTGACGAGACACGCGAGGCCTCACGGGATGGGGGTGGAACCGGCCCTTTCCTTCGCACTCCAATGACACCTCGAGTCACTGCCCACGAACAGCCTCTCTAGCTCCTGATCAAGCTGCTTAATGGCCATGATCCCAGAGACTCAGAAACAAATCTTGAAACCCAGCAGCTTTTGGCAGAAATGTGTCCGGACTACAAGTAGGTTACTGTCGCCAAGCCACCCCAGGGGCGAAAGGATGCTGTGTCTCCTCCTGCTCTCCTTAGTTTGCTCGGTGGCTGCCATCTTCCAGAGGCCACTGGACAGTCAGGTTTGGGCAAGCAATGACAAGACACGCTGGGCCTCACAGGATGGGGGTGGAGCCGGCCCTTTCCTCCTCATCCCAACGAGACCCCGAGTTGCCGCCCATGAACAGCCTCTCTGGCTCCTGATCAAGCCGTTTAATGGCCATGATTCCAGAGACTCAGAAACAAATCTCGAAACCCAGCGGCTTTTGGCAGAAATGCGTCCTGTCCCTGTAGTAGGTTACTGGCACTGGGCCAAACCAGGTGGGAATAGGTTTCGTGCCTTGGCCTATTCCCCCTGGCGGCCTGGTGGCCACCATCCTCCAGAGACCACTGGATAATCAGGTTTGGGCCCACAGTGATGAGACACGTGGGGCCTCAAGGTATGTGGGTGGAGCTGGCCCTTTCCTCCCCACCCCAAGGAGACCCCAAATCATCGCCCACGAACAGCCTCTCTGGCTCCTGATCAAGCTGTTTAATGGCCATGATCCCAGAGACTCAGAAACAAATCTCAAAACCCATTGGCTTTTGGCAGAAATGCGTCCGGACCCCACAGTAGGTTACTGTCGCCAGGCCACACCAGGGGGGAAAGGGTTTGTTCCTCCATCTGTTCCCCCTAGGTGGCTCAGTGACCGCCATCCTCCAGAGGCCACTGGACAGTCTTGGTCCGCAGTGACGAGACATGCAGGGCCTCATGGGATGGGGGTGGAGTCGGCCCTTTCCTCCCCATCCCAACAAGACCCATGAATGGCCTCTCTGCCATTCATCACTGCCCATGAATGGCCTCTCTGGCTCCTGGTCAAGCTGTTTAATGGCCATGATCCCAGTGACTTCATCACTGCCCATGAATGGCCTTTCTGGCTCCTGGTCAAGCTGCTTAACGGCCATGATCCCAGTGACTTAGGAACAAATCTCGGAACCTAGCAGGTTTTGGCAGAAATCCCTCCAGATTTAAGTGTTAAAATTTCGGAATTTCAAAATTGCCATGCAATTGCCACTACTGCAGCCATGCGACATCATATGTTATTCTTAAACAGCAATAGAAAACAAATTGTCTACTGTTGCCTTTTCAGCAGATCTGAGTGTTGGGGTAAAGTACCAAATAATAATGGTGAGTCTGATGTCAAAATATTGAATGTAATCAAAGTAGAGAGAGAATAATGTGGAAATCATCTGCCCCACAGGTAGAGGGAGGGTGTGGGATGGGGGTATACTTGGGTTTTTGGGGGTGGAGTATTGGCACTGGTGAAGGTTCGGGTGTTTCATTGTATGACCAAGACTTAAACCCGAAAGCTTTGTTTTCTGCTCTCATGGTGATTCAATAAATAAAATTATAAAAAATGAAAAATGTAAGATGGAGTTCATGGGAGTTCATGCCCAATTCAATCAGCTAATCAGTGGCTGAATAAATAGCAGTAATCCTACATAAAAAAGTAAGCATGAATTAACACAAAGCTTTCTATGGTTAACATATTACTTTCATCATTAACAGACTTAGAAACAACTACATGTTTAGTAAAGAGGATTACGTTGACAGATAAGGTATACATAAAATCAGGATATCACATGGAATTTTATAATACTATGAAAGGCCAGGGATTTAACTGGATGGACTAGAGCCTATGCAAATTTCCCCTGGCCTGCAAGTTCAATTCCCAGCACCACATAACTCAAGTCAGAGTACTGCTGAGCATAGCCCTCGGGGCCTCAGTATTGAACCTTCATATCAGATGCACTATCAATGGGAATGACCCTGGGACTCACTCTGGAGTGAGCCTGGGGGTGACACTGCTTGAGAGACCTCACCTCCAATGCTATTTACTTTAATTTCATTTGTTATGATACGAATTAGTAGTTTATCAAAAATGTGTAGTATAGTTGCAATTTGTATTATATATATAAGTATATATATAAAGTGTATATACATTGAGTCAAAAGAGCATTTATAAAATAATGCCTCTAGTCATTTTAAGAACAAATTTTAATTTTCCTCTTTGTATTTTCTCATCTTAAAGTATGTATCATCTAGTAGTAAAATAAACATTTAAAATGGTTACAAAC